TTTTTTTTCCTTCATAAAAAAGCTTTGTCCTTGTGCCAAATTGAACCGATTATATTCTCCAATGTTCTTTTCTTTCTTCAATCACCTAAAGGATAACATTGGCAGAACTAACCTTGACCGCAATGATCAGATCGTATATTGTGCTATCATAATCAAAAAGACTGATTTGGTGCTGTGGATAATTGTCTACTATTTTTCTCATTTTGTCAATTTTCTTCGCTCTTCGATTCCAGTCTAGATCTCCTTCAACGGAATATATTAAGATGAAAATGAAAGCACAAAAATAGAAGGAACCCAGCTCAACCTACCTCGGCAGACAATGACAAAATTCATAAAGGCTTGATCAACCGTACCACTGAAATATGTTCAACTGAAAAAGGTTTGAGTAAAAGTTTCTGCAAAACTCACTTGGTCATGTTGTACTGGACAATGTTCACATCCTTGATCTGTCTCTCAGCAAGAAACTTCGGCAAATCATCAAGTGAAAGTGTGTTATTGTTAATCTCCTCCCACTGTACAACAGAAAGCGAATATTTATAAAACTGCTGGAGTTTTCAGAAGTATTTTTATACCTCAAGGTAATCTCTGAGCATCACTTGCGTGCGTTCAGAACCATAGCAACCATCGCTATTTTCGAGTCGGTTTAACATTTCAAGAAATGATGAAAGCTGCTGTTTTTCGGATACATCCGGGATAACGCTAATGAAATTGATTGGCGAATACTGTAAATAATATTGTTCTCTGCTAAGTTGTCATGCTAATTGTGTAGAAATTCGTCAATGATACAACTGTTGATACTGAACTTTAATACTGAGGGCGGTGAGAACATGGGGTGTTACCTTGACCCAGATTCTCTAACTATATGTGGCGAAATCGGAGCACCATATCCAAACTGCAGTGCCTTACTGTAGGGTCAAGATGAATGCACTGCGGTAGTGTTGTGTCAGAATTCTTCTAAGCTAGCAAAGCGAGGCGGTATATTGAACTCAATTGATATATTTGTTTGTTATATTGACATCTTTTTGCAAGGTTACGATCCCGTATCACAGGTCCCTCCAC